GAGCACCCCATTTACCCCGCCCGAGATGTCAGACCATGACGCTGGACGCTAGCAGGTGGAAACCACTGTGTGTGTGCATGCGATTGTGTGCATTGTGGGTATATATGCGTGTGCAATCTGTGTATGTACATATAGTGTATACACACATGTGGTGTGCATGTGTGTAATTGCGCGTGTTGTACTGTGTGGTTGTTATGGTTACGTGTATGTGCACATGTGGGTGCACGCACGTATATAATTATGTCGCGACTTCCAGGCGGAGGCAGCGCCGCCCTCAGCCCCCGGCGGCACCCACAGCAGACGTTGCCGACCCGTCTCCACGTGTCTTCCCACGCGGATCTCGACCCCCAAAAGATGCTCCAGGAACTACCGCCAATCACTCGACAGGAGGAAGCCATCTGTCACCTGGATCTGTGGTGGCTCGAGTGACAACGTGGCCTGCCAAGCACTGTCCACTTTACCCTGCTCCCGCCCCGGCCGCCACCGGCTCATACACGCCTTCCTATGACCTAGAAGAGGTGCCCCTGGCCCCGGGCGGGCAGCTCTGTGCCACGACACACTCATGCGGCCAGGCACCCTCCACAGCCTCACTGGGCAGCCCTGCCCGAGCGGCAGGCCGGAGCCGTGTGGGAGAAGGGAAAGAACCCCACTTTTCGCCAGACCCGACCCCCAAAGAAACACACCCAGTCATATTCAGGCCGGCCACATGCCATACGATAATAAAATAGTCAAGATTCACTTCGTGTAAAACCCCCGGGATCCCAAACGGAACGCCCCAGGGAGCCGCCAGCCGCCCGTCAGGCCCCGTGGGGGTCTGGTCCCGGCCACCAGCAGCGAAGGCACCGCCACCGCTCACTCTGCAGAGCGTCCCTAAAGGTCCCTGCGCAGTCACCCTCTTTCTGTGCTTAGAAAAGGAAAAGCTGTTCACACAAGTGGGGTGACACGGCGTGACGTGGCATGATGCAGCATGACATGGCATGACATGGCGTGACGTGGCGCGGACACTACCAGAAGCGCCGGTGGCCGTCTCAAGACGCTGCAGGGAGGCTGGTGGTGGCGGTCCCAGCAGCACGGGCAGCAGCCCACGGGGCCCTGGCTCTGTCCCAGCCTCAGGGAGGCGGACTGGGTCTGTGCAGGGAAGTCTCTCCCTCCGGGCCACGACTGGCATCCTGCGACTGGTCCCCAGGCCACGTTGCCTCCCTGCTGCCCCAGCCAGGAAGGCGCACCGGATGTCACCTGCACAGCTGCAAGTGTGGGTGACGCTGCAGCTTCTCCATCAGCTCCTCCTCCGTCGGCTCCTCTAGGACATGCCTGCGGAATCGGGGAGATCGGCACTCTGGAGAGAGACCCCGGGCCCCTCTGGGAGCGCGAGCGGAGCAGGGGACGGCCTTGTCCATGCTATCAGAGACGTGCACAAGGGGACGTGGCAAGGACCGGGGACACAAGACCAAGACCCATCTTCAAGATGCTTACGCGGCTCTCTTAAGAGCCCAGGAGAACGCCCCTCGCGCTGGCTGCTGACGCTGGACAGAGAACGGCTGTGACAGCACAGCCAACGCTCTTGGAGGGACGTCCGGCTGCCCAGAGCCAGGCTATCTTGGGACGACTAGCACCTTTCCCGATGAGAGAAACCGCTGCCACAGAGAGGAGGCGCGGGGTGTCCTTGGGCCACCTGTCTGCATCACCAGCCGCGTCACCTGGAGGCTAACGCACCTGAAGGATGCTTCCTTAAATTCGCTCAGCTGGAGAGCGGGGCACTCACAGCAGGAGCAAAGGGAGCGCTCCGGTCCCCACCCTGATCCCGCTGGGAGGCCCGCAGGAGGCAGGTGAGGTGCAGA